CCCACGAGAGGATAACTCCTGGCAGGTCCCGCTCTGAAATGTCACCCGTTCGTCTTCTCATTTCACTCCCAGAGCCACTCATGCAGCACAGTCCAGTTCTGAGTAACTCATATCTAAATTACCAAAATGACCTCAAGTAGTTCTCACTACTTCTAGCTTCTTTCCCTCCATACTTCTGTCAGAGTTAAACTTACTAAAACATCGTTCCCTTCCCATTTTTAAAAACTCTCTTAGTCCATTCTGGCTGCTATAACAAAATGCCAGAAACTGGTGGCTTATAAACAACAGGAATTTATTTCTCACCGTTTTGGAGGCTGGGAAGTCCAAGATCAAGGCAGTGCCAGATCCAGTGTCTGGTGAGAGCTCCACTTCCTTGTTTGTGGACAGTGCCTTCTCGCTGTGTTCTCACATGGCAGACGTGTGTGGGAGCTTCTGGGGTCTCTTTAAAAGGGCACTAATTCCATTCATGAGGGCCCTTCTCTCATACCATTCACTTCCTAAAGGCCCCCAGTTCTAATGCCATCACTTTGGAGATAAGGTTTTTAACATACGAATTTTGAGGGGACACAAACATTCAGACCACAGCAGAAACCTTCAGTGAATCCCACAGTCTGGAGGCCTTATGCCAGGTGCATCTCCTAGAGTCAACCCTGATCCCTGGCCAGAATCTGCTCTCTGTCCTCAACCCCTTTCATCTTGTCCCCCACCCTTTTCCTCATACATCTTTTCCATCAGCCCACCCGGTTGCTCTTCGGCTGCAAGCATCCTTCTGCATGTCTGTGATCCCTTCCCACTTAGAAACAATGTCTTTTTTCCAGTCACCTCCCATTCCTTTAAATCCAGTTCATATTCCCTAATGGATCCATCCTGACTCGATATTTCTCTCTTTTCCTAACTTCCAGGCTCCCAGAGTTTGGGGACTACAGATACTTCCTGTAATACTTGTTCCATGGGAATCTTCTGTCTCTCAACTATACCCCGTGATTGTATAAACCAAGTATAACTATAAAGTATTTATCCATTCACTGGGTGCTGTAGTCCACATGTATTTACTAAGTGCCTACTTTAGCCAAAGTAGATGCCTAATAAAAAATTTAGTGAACAATGAGAGAATGAGAGCAGAGAAATTGTAAGTGTGAAAAACTACAAAAATAGTGACCCATTCATTTATCCACTAGAATAATCAATAACTCTTGATTACAGAACTCTCATGTGCTCAACACTGTATTTGTTGAGGCATGGGTCATGAAAGGGTTAAGCAAGTAGAGTCTCTGCCATTTCATGACTTTTCATTTAATGTTGATAACTAGGGTGGGAGTATATGAAACACTCTAAACAAAAGTCAGGCCAGTATTGAAGTACGTTAAGTACTTATTTATTTGATGAACTCTTCAAATAAGTACTGAAGAAAGATAAAGAAAAAGAGAAAAAGTAGTGAAGTGTTAGGCTCCAGAGCAAGTTCCTTGGAGATCGTTAGTCTTGAACTGGATCTAGAAATTTGGGATTTGGCTTTGAATTTCTAGGTGCCTTCAGGTTCATCTATTCTATGGGAATAGATGGCAAAGAGCACACACCTAGGTGTACAGGAACTAGAAGAATCCTAGGCTATGCGAGGACCTTCCCGGCTGGAGGGTACAGAGTTGCGGAGAGAACAGGGTGGACAGTAAGGAAGGGCAGTCTATTTTAGGAGGATACATGAAAGAAAGTCTGTGAGGTTCCTAGCAAGCCGCCTAACCCAAAGTAGGTGCCCATATGCACTAGTTTCCCCCTCATCGTTGATTTGGCACTTACAAAGTTAAAGATATAGGCTTTCTAGCCATGAAATGATTTGTTTCTCCTTTTCTCAGGTGGTTAGTAACCTCTTTATTGGTGTCATGTTTACTCCTCACCTAACTTCCCAAAACTACAAGTAATATCTTAAGAGATGAAGAATCTTAGCTCATGACTGTATCAAAAATTCCAGTTGACTGATAATTCTATGTGAAATGCACATATATACTACCTTTATGACATTATCTGTGTGTACATAAAATAGCATATATATTTGTCTATATCTTCATCTGTATGTCTCAGCACATACGTTCATCCGTTGATGTATGTATCTACCATTTATCTATATCTGTATGTAGGTATATATCCAAGTTGACTGTGTATAGATAGTAATAGACAATAAGAATTCCTGGTTGGGCGCCGTGGCTCATGCCTGTAATGTCAGCACTTTGGGAGGCCGAGGCGGTGGATAACGAGGTCAGGAGTTCAAGACCAGCCTGGCCAAGATGATGAAACCCCATGTCTACTAAAAATGCAGAAAATCAGTTGGGCATGGTGGCAGGTGCCTGTAATCCCAGCTACTTTGGAGGCTGAGGCAGAGAATCGCTTGAACCCGGTAGGCGGAGGTTGCAGTGAGCCAAGATTGTACCACTGCACTCCAGCCTGGGCAACAGAGACTCCATCTTAAAAAACAAACAAACAAACAAAAAAACAAAGAAGAATTCCTGAATGACTCATCTATCATTTTTGACTCCCTGTAACTTGTAAATGTCTTTCTCTTCTGAAGAGGACATGCAAAAACACACATGACATTCCAGCTTCCCAGGTTGCATTCCACACCTGTGTCTGGGTAGCGTTTCTTCAAGGTTACTTCATGACTCTCTGTCTTCACTTCCAATGCCAACCATGCCGTAGACATTCTTAGTTCAGAGAGATTGAGGTGGCCTGGTATGGCTGTAGCTTAGTTTTCAGGGCTCTTCCTGTGTCCCTAGGAAGATATGCTTCACTCTGTGGGAACTAGAGCTCTGGACCCAACACGTCTGCAGCTCTCTGTGCTTCATTCCCAGTTGCGTCACGGGTAAGATGGACTATTTATTTTGGAAGGTGGACACGTTTTGGAAGGTGTCCAAGTCCAAGCCCCAAGACTTGGACCTCTAAACTTTCCCTAATGTGATGGCTCCTGTAGCTACACAGGGTTGATTTCACACCGTGGCCACCAATGTAGTACTTGTTTCTTGTTAATCTTTTCCAAATAGCAGGATGTCTTTAATAGAGTAGGACAGTTGATGTCCTATGTGTTGTCAAGATGGTCTAAATCATGCTGATTATATTAAAATGGAAAGGAAAACCATCGAAGTGTGCTGCTGTCCACCGTGTAAGAGGGAACTCTTTCTAACAAGAATGGCAAAGAATGCGGAAGCTACACTGATGCCCACATCCCATGCACCCCATGACTGTGGGCCTCTGTGGCAGGAGTTCGTAGGCTGACCATTTAGGTTCTGTAAGTTTTCTTTATATCTCCTCTACAGGATCATTTCTAAGCTTTCTTTTTAATTTTGTTATATACAGGCACATTTTCATAAATGTTCTAATATTTTCTCTATGCCTCAGTAGCAGATTGGGAGGTCTAGAAAGGTTTTAGTCTGCCATGTTGCCGAAAGCAAGATGGAGAATATATTTTCCGTAACAGCTGTGAGAGAAAAAGGTAAAATACAGCAACTTTATAGGGTCACAAAGTGAAAAACGTATGTGTGTACTTGAGCATATGTATGTGAATGGCTCTTTGGTTAGAAATAGGAAAGCATTATGTTTTATTATCTTTAAGGACTACTTTGTTAGAAGGGAAAGAGTTGCAAGTTCCAAGGACAGATAGTGCCTACTTGACTAAGATTCAGGAAATCAGAATGAAGACCCCGGAAGGACTGGAACAGAATTTTGAAAATCTTTCAGGTGTTAAGAAATTATCTTTTATAATAATGCTAATTTTCTGGAAAGGGGGCTTTTGCAGAGCTCTTACATCTGTTAAGGACTGGGTATAAAATAAACATGCTTATTTGTATTCTGTTATAATTACATAGGAAATAGGCTTGTCTAAATAGACTCCAATAACTTTCTAATAAAATCACCATTGGGCCGATTTGAAATTAATATATTCAGCTTGTCTCCTGTTTAACATAAACTTGTGTGGTTCATTTTCCAGCAAAAATACATGGTTTTAAAGATTTTTTTTTTACAAAGTGTTTTAAGGGAATCAAAAAAATTTAGGACTTGTATATATTGATTTATTAGTAATACTGTAACCGTGATTTGAGAAACTGAGTATTTGGATGGTTACAAGGTGGCACAATAGACAAAATCTTGCAGCAGAAGAATCCCTGTGGGACAACCTTTTATCCCTAAATTCTACTTTTATATTTGCCAGTAAAATGTGAGAGAATGTTTAACATTTTTACTTTGATGCAATAGTAATTTTTCTTTTGATTGTGGGAAAATTCAGGTTCTATTATTATACTATTAATTATAATTAAATTACCAGACAATTTTATTTTCTATATTTTGTATTATGCATTGCTTTAAAATAAGTGGGATAACAGGATTTTCCAGATCCTGTTATCCCACTGTTGAATTTTCTCAAATTATGCTTATGAGAGTACTAATAAATCACTCTATACAAGTGCTAAATTTTTGGATCCCCTTAAAATACTTTGTAGAAAAAAATCTTTAAAAATTTTTTAAAGATCTAAATTTTTAAGACATTCATTTAAAACTTTACAATGCTTAATATTATGAGTATCTAGAATATCAATAGAAACATAGGATCTACTTTCAAGGAGACCACAGTCTATGAGAGAGGAGAAGGTATCAATACTCTGATGTAACCACAGATCAACAGAAATCTATGCAGGTGGATTTGATAGATTATTTGGACATTCTGAGTCAGGGAAGACTTCCAGAAAGAGATTATGTTTTAGCTCAGGTTTAATAAAAAAGTTGAAAAATGTGTTAACATAAAAATATATACAATTAGGAGAATCAGTGTTCTATGTAGTTCATTGAGCGCCTCCCATTTTTAAAATACAGTGTCGGTATATACGAGGTCAGTGCTTACCAGCTCCAGTCTTTGCACAGAGCGCACACAACCCCATAGGATTACAGAAATTGTTCTAAAGCACGTGCCTCCTTTCCACACTGGCAGGTACTAGAGGAAACATCTTCCTTTCTCTCTGCAGGAGCCCCGTCCTGGTTTTCCAGTGCAACTCCCGCCACGTGATTTGCTTAGACTGTTTCCACTTATACTGCGTGACGAGACTCAACGATCGGCAGTTTGTTCACGACCCTCAGCTGGGCTACTCCCTGCCTTGTGTGGGTAAGTCTAGCCTGCTTTCTCTTCACCTCTAATGCTGGTGAACAGAAGAAGGGCTGTTGTAAACGGTCTTAGATACACATAAACCCTAGCAGAGGAGTTGAACATTTAAATGTGATCATTGCTGGGTGTGACACAGTAATGTTTGGATCACAGAAGATATAAAATTCTGGGGAATGAAGGAATTATGCTGAACTGGAAAATGCATACCTTGTATAAGGGCATTGAAAATAAGTTTGAAAATATTATTCAGCCAAGGTATACTAAGTTTTTCTGTGGGTCAGAGTCACTCTCCATGTTCTAGATTTTTACCCTGGAACTAAACCAGTATTACCTAATTTTTTAATTATATATCTCTATCACTCGAAATGCTGGACACATACCCAATATATATAAAATAACATATATGAAAAAGAATAATGAGATAAACCTGAACTATTTAATATTTTATCTTTTAACATGACAAAGCACCCTTTACTTGTACTATACTTTTATTACATATATAAATTTTTACCGAAGTGAAATTCATGTGACAACTAATTAACCATTTTAAAGTGTACAATTCAGTGGCATTTAGGGCGTTCTCAAGGTTGCACAAGCACTACCTCTGTCTGGCTTCAGAGCTGTTTTTAAATACCTCCTACCCAAGTAATCACTGCCCTTGACCCCCTGTCCCAGCCCAGCCACCCACCACCAATCACTTTCTTCTCTATGGATTTGCCTATTCTAGATATTTCCTATAAATGAAATCATACAATAGGTGACCCTTCATGTCTGCCTTATTTCACTTTGCGTAATGTATTTGAGGTTTATTCAAGTTGCAGCATGTATGAATATTTCTTTCCTCTTTATGGCTGAATAATATTCCATTGTGTGGATACCCCACAATTTGTGTATCTGTTTACTTGCTGATGGGTATTTGTGTTGTCTCCATCTTTTCGGTTATTATGAATGATGCCGCTATAAACATTCATATATAAGTTTCTGTGTGGACATTTGCTTTCGTTTATCTTGGATATATACTGAAAAGCAGAATTCTAAGTGTAACCTTTAGGAGAACTTCCCACTGTGTTCCTCAGATGCTGCACCATTTAATACTCTCACCAGCAGTGTAGCAATGTCCAAGCGTTTCTATTTCTCCACCTCCTCGCCATCACTTGTTATTGTTTCTAACCAGTCACCCTCGCAAGTGTGAAGTGGTGTCTGATTGTGGATTTGATTTTCATTTCTTTAATGACTGTGATGTTGATGATTTTCTCGTATGCTTGTAGTCGTGTATCTTCTTTTTTTTTTTTTTTTTTTTTTTTTTTGAGACGGAGTTTCGCTCTTGTTACCCAGGCTGGAGTGCAATGGCGCGATCTCGGCTCACCGCAACCTCCGCCTCCTGGGTTCAGGCAATTCTCCTGCCTCAGCCTCCTGAGTAGCTGGGATTACAGGCACGTGCCACCATGCCCAGCTAATTTTTTGTATTTGTAGTAGAGACGGGGTTTCACCATGTTGACCAGGATGGTCTCGATCTCTTGACCTCGTGATCCACCTGCCTCGGCCTCCCAAAGTGCTGGGATTACAGGCGTGAGCCACCGCGCCCGGCCCAGTCGTGTATCTTCTTTATAGGAATATCTGTTCCAGTCCTTTCTCTGCTCATTTTTAAATCGAGTTGATCATGCTTTTGTTGTTGAGTTCTAAGAGTTCTTTATATATTCTGGTTACTGGATCCTTATCAGATATATGAAATGCACATATTTCTCCCACTCTGTAGGTTGTCTCTTCACTTTATTCATAATGTCCTTTGATGAACAAAAGTTTCTACTTTTGATGAAATCCAATTTATCTGTTTTAGTTGTGGTTGTTGCTCATGCTTTTGGTGTCAAATAAAACACTCCATTGCCACACCTGAGATCATGATGATTCACTTCCATATTTTCTTCCAATAGCTTACCTCTTACATTTACATTGAGTACCTGAAATGAAGTAAAGTTACCACCTCTCTCTATATGTAAATGACTGCAATGTGGTTAAATACGTTTCATTAATTCCTGAAAACTTTAATTTGAAACCATGAGATACCTTGACTCACGGTGAGGTTTTAAGTTCAGTTTATTTCAAGACTTAGTTTTAATGTCAGTCATAGCTAAAAAATATACCTGGAAATGATTAAAAAATCCAAATGGAATAAACTAGCTGCTTTGTTGACTTTGTAAATTACGATTCTCGTTTTTAAGCATATCTACTGATAATGCAATAATTTTAAAAATTAAGATTCACATAATATAGGTTAATGTATTATAAGGAAACCCTGTTTTTGAAAGTTATTGTGGCTTTATTTTAAACAAAAGCATTCAAAATCCAGTGAAGTGATTATTTACAGATTGGAAAACTGCAGTGCTTTTAATGCAACAATTTTGTTTTGGTAAACCTTCTTCCTTCACGAAGCCACAAACAGGGGAAACATTTCTAAACACGTATTTTCAAGTCTTTTCTTCATACTCTTACCAGTTCATTTTGAACTCATTTTCTTTTAAAGTGTGTCTTTTTATTTTAGACAATTTCAAACACATAAAAGTAAGAAAAAATACTACAGTGACCCTTCCTGCACCCATTAGTCAGGGTTTGTAGTGTAACAACATGTTCTATACCTTTCTTGTAATACTTGCCCAACAACCTGTAATCAGCCATTTTTCTCAGGAGCTCTGGCTCCCTTTGGTAGGAAATAGTATTTAGAAGTCTTGGTGCTTGGATGCTTGTTGTCGCTGTATTGGTTATTGTTTCTAGTCCTAGTTGAGCAAGCTAGGAGACTTTTTTTTTAAGCAAACACTGTAATATTAGTTATACTAACATTTTCAGTTCAAATCCAGTGTTATCAGATTTTCATGGAAAAGTCACCCATGTTACAACTGTTGTTTCTTTCACTCTTCACGAAAATTCTGTTACTGAGTGATACCAACAAAACCACTCATTTGCCTAACTTGAGAATGCACCCACATCAGTATCAGTATTGCAGTATCAACACCATCACCCAAGTATGATGACCGAAAACAATGTTAAGATTTTTACAGTTTGTCATTAGGATATATCCTTACAGGGATATAAAAACTCATATAAGTTAATGTATAGTTATGTCATCAGTTGAATGCATAGTTCTCATTGATTTTATTTTTTTAATTTAATTTTGTTGTTGAGATAAAGTCTTGCTCTGTCACCCAAGCTGGAGTGTAGTGACGCGATCTTAGCTCACTGCATCCTCGTCCTTCTGGGTTCAAGTGACTCTCCTGCTTCTGCCTCCCAAGTAGCTGGGACTACAGGTGCATGCCACCATACCCTGCTAATTTTTTTATTTTCAATAGAGACAGGATTTCTCCATGTTAGCCAGGCTGGTCTTGAACTCCTGACCTCAGATGATCCACCCACCTTGGCCTCCCAAAGTGCTGGGATTACAGACATGAGCCACCACGCCTGGCCTTTCATTGCTTTTAAATTTATTTTGCTTTTATAATATGTAAAATATTTCTATTATTCCAAAGCTAAAGCTATAAAACATGCTATATTCAAAGAAGTATATCCTTTATCTGTATTCTCTTCAATATATCTTCTCTCTCCCAAAGCTAAACCTTTATTAAAAATGATCACCTATTTTCAAAATAGGTAAACTATAGATGATATAGATGATGAACTATAATGATATAGATGTGTTACCTTCTTAAGTAAAAAGTAGATTATGCACATTTTTCTTCATCTTGCTGTTTTCACTCTACAGCATATATTTTAAAGATCATTTCCTAGTCTGATCTAGATATTTTCTTCCATTTAAAAAATATAGCATCATTGAATTTCTTTATGTAGGTATACCTTACTTTTTGCTTATTAGTGAACACTACTTTTTTTTGTTTGTTTGTTTGTTTTTTGAGATGGAGTTTTACTGTGTTGCAGTGGCACAATCTCAGTTCACTGCAACCTCCCGTCTCCCAGATTCAAGCCATCCTCCTGCCTCAGCCCCCTACCCTCCCAACCCCAGTAGCTGGAATTATAGGCACGCACCACTATGCCTGGCTAATTTTCATATCTTTAGTAGAGTCAAGGTTTCACCCTGTTGACCAGGCTGGTCTTGAACTCCTGACCTCAGGTGATCCACCCACCTCAGCCTCCAAAAGTGCTGGGATTACAGGCGTGAGCCACCACGCCCGGCCAGTTTTCATTTTTTACTATAAATATTGCTACAACTAATACATTTCTATGCACGCATATTTTCATATTGTTGTCAGAGGATTACTGAGATCTGCTCACTAGAAGAGGGGTTACTGCACCAAAGGGAAAATGTTTCTTTTACTGTTTCCAAATTCCCCTCCCAGTAGTGCTGGGCTTTCCATGCCCACCAGCAATGCCAACTGCGAAGTGCAGAGATCAGGCCCTCCACTTCCTCCCCAACAGGGGAGCCGAACGGCTTTTGCTTTCTTTCTAATCATGTATTTGAGAAATGGTATTCTATGTAGTTGGCTGTGTTTTTCTTTTTAATTTTAAACAAAGTTGAGCATCTTTTTATATGTTTAAGATCCTCTGGCATTTCTTTTTCTCAGTCATGTTGAAAGCATCACCTTTTCTTTCAGGGACAGGTTAAGTAAATGTATTCTTTTCAGAAATATTTTCTATATAGCACACTGTTGACAGCCCCTGATAGTCACAGAAAAAGTTAGCAAAATTGGATCACTTGTATTTTTGTAAATAATGTGTGTAAATTAGCTTCAGTTTTGCTGGTTCTTTGCCATGATATAACTAACAACCTCCTTGCAAAAAGACTTTGCGTGGTCAAGCTCTATCTTGTTAAAATGCATTATATGAATTCTACTATATATGAATTGTGTTTTCAATACCTTTTAGACTTTTTTATTTTTAAATTCAGTATGCCAGTGCCATCCTCAGAATCTTGCACACTCCTGGGTTCAACTTCTCGATTTTAATAGGGAGTTAGGCAGAGGATGAATGGGATGGATTATCAGATGTTGTTTTGC